GAAAGGGATCGTCTTAAGCAACGTAGTCCCGCGACTCATTTGTTGGTACATTAAATTAAAGTTTCCTTTGTTACAAAATCAGAATAATTTGATTTGTATATTTCAATTGCAGAAATACTCACCCTTCAAGCACAAGTTCAGCATATTGATCGCTTGATAGCTCAATTCTATCGAAAACGACGACGGGAGATCTTGAACACGCGCTTGCGACGTACTGTTCAACATATTCCACATGGTAAGCTTAGCATCTTTTAAACGCTGTTCTTTATTTTGTAAGGTGTGTTATAGACTATTTTGCATACGCATAACATATTCCATATGTGCATTGCGTTATATATGTCACGGAGAAGGATTCCACGTCGTCCTAATGGAGTTAGTTCATGCATAATTAACTTCGTTACCGCAGATTATAGTTCATGTATCTCCCGCCTTCGGACAAAACGGGCACGTTTAATGCGAGCTATTCATTTGTACAAAAGGCGGATGGTTAATGCTGTACCGAGGGGGTTCTCCCTTTCCCATGGTGTGTGGCATCATATTTTATATTTTTACATTGTAAATACTTATTCATCATGTGTGCGTTATCTTATGTAACTACATTGATTGTAGGATATCCTGTTGTGGAACTTTTTAGTCTGGGTGAGCCTACAAGCATTTGTCAATACTGCGCAGCAATTATGTGGGTGCAAGAAAGTACGGTTCCTACTAGGAGTCGTGTCAATCCCCATTTCTCATTGTGTTGCAAAGCTGGAAAGGTAAAACTGCCCCCTAGACGTGCTCCACCAGAGTTGTTGAATGAATTGTTACACTCTTCTACACCTATGAGCCGTCATTTCCGGGAAGCCATTCGTAGATACAATGCTGTGTTTTGCTTTATCTCCCTGGGCGGGAAAGTGGATCGTGGTATAAATAATGGTCGAGGGGTGTATGTGTACTCTATAGGTGGGCAGATTTATCACTCTATAGGCAGTTTATTACCTGCAGACGGTCAGCCACCGAGGTTTGCCCAATTATACATTCATGACTCAAGTTCTGAACTACAGAGTCGTTTGCAGCTATTTCCAGATGATGATGAATCCAGTTCATTGCGACCAGATATTGTTGAAAGATTGCAAGAAATGTTTGATAGAAACAATGTTCTGGTTCAAACCTTTCGGATGGCTAGGCAAAAGATACAGGAAGGCAATGTGAAAGAGGTGAAGATCAAATTAATTGCCAAGCGTACTCATGATGGGAGAGAATATGATTTACCAACGGGGAATGACATAGCAGCCTTGATTGTTAATGAAACAGGGCAAGATACATTTGAGCCAGATATTATTGTTCAGTATAAGAGTTATGAATTGGAGAGAATTAATTATTATCATCCATCATTAATGGCTTTACAATACCCAATTTTATTTCCTTATGGAGAGGATGGATGGCATCCGGACATAAGCTGTGATGATGATGATAATCTTTGGAATGACAAGACACTGTCCCAGTGTGATTATTATGCATACCGCCTACAGAGTAGATTTCAGGAGTCAAATTCGGTTTTATTATCTGGGAAATTATTTCAGCAGTATGTTGTGATTGCGTACGCATTAGTAGAGGCACAACGACTTGATTGGATCCGAAATAACCAAGCTAAACTTCGTTCCCATTATCTGAGTGGGTTAGTGGATGCATTCCTACGTGGTGATTCTGATTTAGAAATGACTGGAAAACATGTGATTTTGGCTGCTTCCCACACAGGAAGTCCACGGTACAAGTATGAAAACTTCCAGGATGCTATGGCTATTTGTAGGTGGTTGGGCTACCCAGATTTATTTATTACCTTCACCTGTAATGCAAATTGGCCGGAAATCCAGTTTATGGTTGATTTGGTAACCGCAGATGGTCGGAAAGATGTCAATAGATCTGATATTATTGCTCGGGTCTTCAAGCTTAAACTGCAGCAATTCATGTCTGAGATAAGAGATAAGAAAATATTTGGGACTACCACTGGATGTAAGTCGTACATGCTCCATAATTGTTATTTTAGTTGTTATCAATACTTTTGTTTCATATGGTTGAATTAGTTTATGCAAGTTGTCCTTTACCTAATCAGGTTTTGGAAGGCTCCAACTTAATACATATTGTATTTGTTTGTAGTTGTGCTGGCAATTGAGTTTCAAAAGCGTGGCCTTCCCCATGCTCATTTGTTGGTCTTCCTAGCTCCGGAATGTAAACTAACTGGGCCGACGACCATTGATTCAGTCATATCCGCAGAAATTCCAAACTCTGATATTGATCCAGAAGGCTATAGAGCTGTAACGGCTTTTATGCTGCATGGTCCATGTGGTCTTTTGGGCCGTAATGCTCCTTGCACAGAAGGTGGTGTGTGTACTAAACATTTTCCAAAGCCGTTTTGTGAGCAAACAAAGATTGATGATAATGGTTTTGCCAAATATCGACGACGTGACAGTGGAATAACTTTTAAAGTTAACTCTGTGTCATTGGACAATCGTTTTGTCGTGCCGTACAATCGCTATTTATTATTGCGATTCGATGCACATATAAATGTTGAGTTCTGCAATAAATCCAGGTATCTTCTTCATACCACATATAATATTTATGATCGACATTACTTTTTTATTCCCTTCCATGTAAAGTGCCAAATTTGGTAGCTTTTGTTGTGTTTTTTTTATTGGTTTACACGTATCAGTTTGGTTGTTGCATTATTACTCATTATTTTTGTTGTATCTGCTCATGAACCAGCAGGAAGAATTAGTCGGTTACTTAATTAGGAAGGTTTGTCTGGGTTGTCGTTGCCCAGTAATGAACATGAAACCGCAAACCATGTATGTCCGCAGACGTCAGCCCGGTGGGGAACAAGGGGAAGGGAAAAACAAAGCAATGGGTTTAATAGTTAGCCCTTGATGAAATTATGTAGTGATTTTCTATTGTCATAATTTCCTAAATTGTTATTAATTAAAAATAGAAACAAATTCACGTTATCATAATTGGAACATTATAGACTCATTGTAATAAATATAAAATCGACCGCTGATTATTGTTCCCATGATGTAATTCACACTTTCTTATGTATGCTATCTGTATTTGTATTTTTCTAAATGTCCTTACCTGTTCATTTGTTTCCAATTTTTGTTTGACATTGTAGGGCAATCAAATATTTGTTCAAGTATATCAACAAACCACAAGATCGAGCAAAAGCTTCATTAGTTGACAATGAAACTAATACTGGAATTGAATCTGGTGCATCAAGTTCAAATCCCACACCACGTGTTGATGAGATAAAAGCATATCTTGATTGTCGGTATATCACATCTGGTGAAGCATGCTGGAGGTTGTTCAAGTTTGATGTCTACTCACAGTACCCATCAGTGTTGCGCATGTCTTATCATCTTCCTGGGCAGAATGTAGTTGTCTCAAGGCAGCATTCAAATCCTCAAGGTGTGCTCCAGTCTAAGCGTGCTCAAACCTCTATGCTGTTAGAATGGATGAAAATGAATAAGTTATTTCCAGAAGCAAGGAAATATACATTTGTAGAATTTCCGCAACATTATGTTTGGGATAAAACAAAGCAGGCGTGGCACAAGAGGAAATCCATGTTCAGTATTGGGCGGTTGTATTATTGTCATCCTTCGCCAACAAATGATAGGTTCTATCTGCGTATGCTTCTACATATTGTTCGTGGTGCTGGTAGTTTTGAGGACATCAGGACAGTGAATGGAGTTTTGCATAAATCTCTTAAGGAAGCATGTTATGCGCATGGTCTATTGGCAGAAGATAATGAATGGAATGACTGTTTGGCTGAAGCGGCTCTTTGGGCATCCGGTAAAAAGTTTAGAACTTTATTTGTTACCATCATCAGCCTCTATCAAGTTTCAGACATTGGGAAACTATGGGAGCGGAATTGGCCACTGTTATCTGATGATATTTTGTATGCCCGTCGGAAGGAACTAAATATGCCTACTTTAGAAATGTCTGATCTTCAGTTAAAGGAATGTTGTTTGCAGGAGATAGATAAATTGCTTGCAAGAAATTGCAAAACTCTATCTGATTTTCCTGGATTACCAGTTATCGATACTGGTAACATGTCATCTTCATCTAATTGATTGATCACTGCAGAACTTAATTACAATGTTGCAAGTCTTCGTGAGCAATTTGAAGGTCTGATTTCCAAGCTCAATGCCCAACAAAAAAAAGCTTTTGATGAAATTACTGAATCGGTATATGCAGATAAGAGAAATGCATTCTTTATTGATGGATGTGGTGGGACAGGGAAGACCTTCTTATGGAAAGTCATTTGCTTGAAATTGCGATCGGAAAATAAGATTGTTCTATGTGTAGCTTCTTCTGGGATTGCAGCCCTTTTAATGGATGGGGGTCGAACAGCTCATTCTCGATTTCACATTCCAGTAGACCTTGATGGTAGATCGACATGTCATATTGACCAGGGTAGTGAATTAGCAGAGCTCATTCAGCGTGCTACATTGATTATTTGGGATGAAGTTGTTATGTCACACAAGCATGCAGTGGAAGCTGTAGATAAATCATTACGGGATATTTTGCGGTTTCGGTATGAAAACAGTCAGGGGAAGCCCTTTGGAGGTCTTACAGTTGTTTTTGGAGGGGATTTTAGGCAAACTTTGCCTATAGTATTGAAAGCTTCACGAGGTGATATTGTGAACTCATCTATAAAGAGGTCTTACCTTTGGCCCCATTTGAGGGTAATTAAATTAGTTGAGAATATGAGGCTAGCACGATCTAATTGCTCTCCAGAGGAAACTGTTGAGATAACTACTTTCCAGAACTGGCTCTTGCAAGTAGGAGACGGAGTAGATTCAGATGTGTTTGGTGAGTCTTTGGTTCACATACCTCAGGAATTAGTAATTCCTCGACAGAGTGATCCTGTTAGTGATATTGTCGCCTCTATATACAGTGATCTTAGTAGTCATGCAGGAGATCATAATTATTTAGTCAATCGAGCTATCTTGGCTCCACACCATGATATGGTTTCTGCAGTGAATGAGTATATTCTAAGTCAATTTCCAGGAGATGCAGTGGCATATTTCAGCGCAGATTCTATTGAGATGGACCCTGGGAAGGAGGGAGTTGTGGATGCTGATTATTCAACCGAGTTTTTGAACAACCTCAAGATTGGAAACTTTCCAGACCATCAGCTGGAACTAAAAGTTGGGTGTCCAGTCATTCTATTACGGAATATGGATCAAACTGTTGGCCTTTGTAATGGTACTAGAATGGTTGTGAAGACTTTGGGTAAATGGTTCATTGAGGTGGAGATTTTGACAGGTACCAATGTCGGTGATCGCGTCTTCCTCCCCAGATTGACATTATCAACCCATTACAAGAGTCTTAATTTCACCCTCATTAGAAGGCAATACCCTGTTGCTCTTTGTTTTGCCATGACTATTAACAAAAGTCAGGGTCGAACACTAGCCAATGTTGGTTTATGTCTTCAAAGACAAGTTTTTAGTCATGGTCAGCTATATGTTGCATTGTCAAGAGTTACTACAAGGCAAGGATTGAAGATTTTGAGTGCCAATGAGAATGGAGAGGAAGGCACTTCAATGGTGAACATAGTATTCCCAGAAATATTTGATTGATTTATAGGAACTTCAATTCATGTTTAACTTATGATTACAGTTTATTTTTTTGATGGACAATTGTTAGGTGTGATGTTTGGATATTTATTTTTGTGACCACAATTTCCCTAGCAATAACATTTTGGTATACGCTGTTGTATTCTTTCACAATTATTGCCTTTTAGGGGTCATTTGGATGCAGGTTTTGGGTGTGGGATTTGGGCACAATCCTACATAGTGTAGGATTTTAATTAAATCACTCGTTTGGAAAATAATTATATGATGAGAGATTTTAAATATTAGAGATTTCAGAAACCCACAATTGTGGGATTATGAAATAGCTGATGGTGATCAGCTATTTTAAAATCCCACACAAATCCCACAAATTAAAAACCTAGGTTTTTGAACCAGTGATTTGAGCCAAAATCCCACAAATTAAAAACCTGCATCCAAATGACCCCTTACTTTTAAACCAAATCTATTTACTATCGTTTTCAAAGCTATGTTAACTAGCATCATGTAAAAAAAACGAATGATATCCATATGTAAAATATTTTAATGGATTTAAAAATACACCTTATCCAATGGACTATATGTTTTTATGCATTGAGCTTATGTATCTGGCCACTGATGAAAAGAAAAGTTTGTACTCATAGATTGCTCAAGAGATCTGACGATTTTAGGTTAGCATTAATACATTTGTAGAATTTACAATTCTGTTATTACCAATATTATATATACAATGACACTTTAACATTTTTAAAAGACTAAATTATAAATGATTTATTTTAAATGGAAAAATGGGCTTATTTCCTATGTGGCTCATGAATTAATCGGGCCCAGAGTTTTGGCAAAGCCCATAGCAAATGACTACACACATGCGGCCTGAGACATTCCAAATTCACCTTTCTAAATTGGGCCTGTGGGGGTTTTTTTATTTTGTTTGGGCGGCTTCCTAGATGCATTGGCAGCGAGTTCCAACTCTAAATTCTAGAGTACAGCAATTTAAAAGGAATTAACAAATAGCAAGGAAGGTGACAGTAAACAAAGAGCAAAATTATATGATGATCAAAATATGGTTACATGAAGTACCACCTCAAAAGGATAATAAACTTTCAAAAAATATTTGCGTTCACATATCCATTACGCGGTTAGCTAATTAGATATTATAGAGAGGTGGACAATTACTAACATTAATCCTGTTATATTAATAATACCCTATGCTACTTAGTTATCTAAAATTGGGAACAACTTAACCAAGAAGAGATCAAGATGATTCTCCACGTTGTTCCAAGGTCCGAATGTGACCAAGACCTTATATGGCGTCTCACCAATCATGTTGAGTAGTGGAACGTACTCCACATCTTCCATCTCATCAGGACCAACAACAGCAGACATGATTCTCCGTAAGTAAGCTGATGGAAATACGACCTCAATATCGGTGATGTCATCTTCAATTGTCAAGTGAATCAAGTATATGTTGGATGCGTCATGCCAAGATCTCCTCAATTCTGTGACAAAGCCATTGAAAATGTATGACTTGCCCTGGTACAAGCCAAAACATAAGGAGTTCAAAATAAGACCAAATTAGATGCAAATTCTTGAGATAAAAGATAGATTCCGGATAGATAAAATACATGCTATCTTATTCACCTGATTAGCAACATCCAATTGCATATGGATAAGATCTATAGTTTCTACAGTGTCCCAAATTGCTGCGGCAACTTCATAGTGCAGATTTGAAACGAAGTCTCCCATGGAAAAAAATCTATAATTTAGATTAGTAGCAATATTAGCAACTCTATCAACAAATGTTAGAGCTGTAAAACTAATCAACTAAGTATGTAAACCCGAATATACACAAACAATAGCAAACCAATACATGAATGTGTCAATCCTTCGATGTATTTTACAATTGGACCTATATTTTATTTCTTTTGACGTTTTCTTCTTTGATTTTTAACTGGAATTTTATCACTCAACTCTACTACGTATTATACAAACATACAAAGTTTAGTTGGACTGCAAGACACACTATGTAATCAGAACGAACCTAAATAATTTTGACATATATGTCCTAAACTATGGATCAATGATATGCTAAAATCCAAGAAAGAACTATTAATCATGTCCATGAATTAAATAGGCTAACCGCATTAGTTCAGAAAGGATGGATGCTAACTCACCTGTGGGCGTTGCAAGTATTTCCTTGGAGTATCGAACTAAAAAAAAAAAAAATTCTGAATGCTAAGATTGTAGTAGATCTGGAGAAACCTAATTTAAAGGCTAGCAAGCGAATGTAATTGATGAGTGGGCTGGAAAAATTGGTTGAAGTTCTTGATGAGAGGAAAGGGCAGATTTTGCCGAGGTAGGGTTTTAGAAATTACCTTTTAGAGATGCTGAGATAGGACTAACGTCGATCAGGCAGAGAGAAGGCCTGGAAAATGAGTGCATGCACTGGATTGGTTTTCCAGTTGCTTTGTTCGCCGCAGAGTGAGCAGAGCAGAGGAAGGCGTAAGGGAGGAAGGGAGTTGAAACGTCTTCGGCTGGGTCTTTACGAGTTAAGACTTTAGAACTTACCTCCTGGAGATGTAGAGATGGAACTAATATTGGTCAGTCAGGGAGGGCTGGAACATGAGTGCATGCAATGGCTTGGTTGGACAGTTGGTCTTTTCGCAGGCGAGTGAATAGTGACGTCGTGACTCGGGGCCGCTGTCGGAGTCCGCGCGAGTTCTGAATTGACGGCAGGGTTGTTCGAAGAGGGAGAAGGAGCGAGCGTGGTGGGAGGGTAGGGTTTTGCGGAGGGAGCGGGAAGAAGGAGAAGCAGAAGATGGCGGGTTGGGGATGTGGATGGTCAGGTTTCTGTGGAGGGACTGTAGGGTAGGTGAGAGCGATGGAGGAGGGAAGGGAAGAAGGGAGTTAAACCGTCTTCGGGTGGGTGGGGGGTTTTGTTTTTTTTTTTTTTTTGTGTTTTTGTATTTGTTTGAGCCAAACGTGCCTAGGGCTGTCTATTTGGTTTGGGTTTTTTGGTTTTAACCAAAACCAAACCAATTGGAAAGCTAATGGTTTCATTTTTTTGTTTTAAACCAATAAGCAACTTAATGGTATTGGTTTGGTTAAAACCGAAAAACCAATAGAAACCATTAAGAATAAAATTATTCATCAACAAGATTTTTTTTTGTTGTTGTTTCTTTTGACACGCATGCCAATTAATAATTTGTGGTGACCATACAGATATGTTTTTGTCAAATGATAATAAATAAATAAATACATAAATCTTTTTTTTACGCGATGATACGAGTGATTTACTGGCTAAAAAATCCAATAATTCAAAATGGTATTAATTTATTTTATCAATGTACCAACCCTAGCGATGCATTGTCAATTGATTCATGTTTATGAGAAAATGACACACCTAATTTCAACTCCTCCTTCCAACCAATAAACCGCTGCTGAAAGGGATCGTCTTAAGCAACGTAGTCCCACGACTCATTTGGTAGTACATTAAATCAAATTTTAAGGTCTTACAAAATCATAATAATTTGATCTGTATATTTCACTTGCAGAAATACTCACCATTCAAGCACAAGTGCACCATATTGATCGCTTGATTTCCAAAAACCCTTTACTCTGAGAAAAACGTCATTGGGATGGATGTATTGCACCATCCAAATTAAATCTTCCCGTGTGTTAAATGTAAATTAACGAAAGAGAATTTTCTGTTATTATAGTTTAATTGATCAATAAAAATCAAATGGTAAATGAATTGGCAGAAATGTGGCAAAGCCCATTTCACTCTCCCAACTTTTATTGCTGCCAGTGTAAAGGGAAAAGTTCAGTTTAGGATATGTGATTTTGTCTTTATACTTCTCTAAGGTAGATAGATATATAAATGGACCCATTCTAAATAACCAAGGCAAAAAGATATTTCACATGGGCCTGTTACACATGACGGGCCATCTATAGCCCACAACAAGATCTCATATGTGAATGTCGTTTCGCAAAACAACAGTGGAGGAGGTTTCGGCCCACATGGTTTTTTTGTTTTTTTGGGCGGCTTCCTAGCAGCATTGGCATCGAGTTCCAACCCTAGAGGCTAGAGTACAACAAAAAATTCCTGGCGCTACCATTGCCTTTCACCGGCGAGTGAATTGCGACCACAGTCTCGGATCCCCGTCGGCAGCGAGCGCTTATCTGAGGATGGCGCTAGCTAACCGGTCTTCCCCATGCAGAACACCTGCCCCAAATATCCATCTCCCCATATCCCTAATTGGAAGAAGCAACCAATTGCCCAGACTACATCCGCCACGAACATTGCAGTTCAATTCAACCGGGTGCAGATTGGAAGATGGTTCCCACCTGGAATCAGACGTCACACAGTCAAAGCCTCAGCTCCGAGTGTGGCCCTCTTTGCGGCGGCAGCGGGGAATAAAAGGAACCGAGCTGCTTTTCAATCCGAGGTACTCCTTGCACATGGACGATAATTTCTACTAGCTCTGTTTTGGCGGGCTGTCGGTCCTTGGGAAATTTACATTGGATTACAACTGACACATTTGAATTTTCCCCTCTATTTCCATCTCCAGCTCTACATCCCTTGAATAAGCATCTCACGTTGGTGTAGCAGTTACCTTCCGAAGATGTTGCTGTTGCTTGCCAACGTGGGGTAATTGGTAACTGCCCCAACTGGAATCCACATATATATACCTTCTCTAAATCTCTCGGCTCATTTTAGATTTCAGTTGTCACTTGCTAAATCCCGCCAGGGAGCTTCTTCTTCGCAGAATTTTTTTCCCCCTTCATTCCTCCATCAAACCAACTTCCTATTCCTACACTATAACTAAGTGCTTACGTATTTTGGTAGCTACACCATGTCATTCAATGGCATCCGAGATCTTGAGTCCGAGAAACAACTCTGGTCAGGTCATTGTCGCGTCTCCAGGGCATGGTTGGGTGTTAATGTGACGACTGATAAAGTCCTGCATTTCGATCTCATCTTGATGGATGCCAAGGTACGGCTGTGT